AATATTCCCAATAAGCTATATCTTCAGATTATTCATTCTCTCACACTACTTTATCTAGTTTGATATCACTCTTTTTCTATCCACTTGTTTTCTATATGCTACTGTGAAGTGTGGAAACTAAAACCGATGCACCTGAGTGCGAGGTTCTGCGTTGATTTTATTTGCCTGACTGTCTAGACTGCAAACAACTTTTAGGAGCTGAAAAATGTATAAATTATCACTCGGTAACTGATCTATGCACAAGTTATTGTATTATCACTTCTACAGATTTAAAAACCCATCATCATATTTTGATGTGGATAGGTTTATAAACCTCAATGCAGATTCATCACACTGAATGACTTGAGGTTTAATTTTATTGAATTTTTTGGAGCGGTCTGTGGGGAACTCTATCTGTGCATGTCCACTACATAGGAATTTCATGACTTCTTTCGCATCGCTAGGAATCTGATTCAGAGACATTATCAACCACTGTACTACGGATATTGTAAAGCCAAGAAACGCAAAACTCAGGTTGAAGGGTCAGTTTTGTTGATTCTGAAATATCAGACAGCACATCTCAGATTAATGACAAGGATGGGGTAGGAGAATCACAGTTAGAGATATCTTTGTACTCTCTCTGACTTTTGGACATCACTACGCTGAAAGGTTTGTTGTTGCACCATCATGGTATTTTCCTCTCTCAGTGACTGCACTATCAAACGTTGGTATTCAGACAACCGTACCAATAAGGTTATCAGCTTGCATCAACTAGTTGTTTTGGATCGTTATTTTTACCCAAACTCACTTTAAGAAGTGGAGTTGATCAAGCCTTTCATATGTTTTTTGAGAGTTAATTTCCTATCATTTTTCACGTGACTTTTTTCTGTGAATGAAGATTGAAAAAGTGTTACAGTGGTCAGGTTAAGACATCTAACGAATCTATGAAGTTAAAGCTATTTTGGCTGAGTCCGTTCAATCAGAGTTTACTTCTCAGTGTAGCATTTGTGCTGACAGAAACTGATATTGACCGCCTTAAACATAATACTCCTTAGTCGACTGTAGAGATGCAGATGAATGTAGACTATTTTCTTCTACACCTTCAGGTTCTTGAAGTTCTGGAGGAAAGCGCTTTATATCTGTCGGTGTTTTTAATTTATCTTGTCTCAATAAGCTTCATTACTCATTCGTTTCACTTGTGCTGTTGCAAAGTGCGGTAATTTAAACTCTTGAGCTAGTTAACCTAAAATCCAATTGGTAAAACAGGAATTAATTGACTAATTAGGGGATCAAATCTTCAATCGTACCTTGGATACTATCATTCTGTCATCCACATTTAGTTAACTACTCTACTGAAGTTAGTGGTCCGTTGGGATGAGTAAATAAATGCATTGACATTGAATTTTTGGATTTGTGGCGACTTATTTATTGACTTGAAGGTGTTATTCATCACGGAATGACGAATCATTGAAAACCTGGAAGTATTAGACAGCTGTTTCGTCCTAGTTTGGAACTTCTAAATAGTGTGCACTCCTGACCCACCAGGAAACGAAGCCAAAGCCTTTAGGTTCTGCGGTCAGCAGGTTACAGTTAACCAACTGGGTTGGAATCTAGTAATCAACATTTTCCTATTTCTTTCAGTTCGCGAAATAGCGAGACCCCCATCTTTCGAGTGATCTTATTCGTCTGCTTTAATGTTTCATAAAAAATATTCAGGATTCTGTTTATTTAAAGTGTTTAGCTATCACTGGATGAGTTTAGACTCATTCTTTTGACGGCATCTTTTCAAGTGTAGTTATTAAACAGCTGAAATCTTTCACCCCATAGTAACGAACTAAATATTGAATAGAAAACGAACAAAAATTAAGGCGATTTGGTTGAAAGTTCTGAAAATTATTCATAGATTTCTCACTCTATTTCATAGTTTCATCAACCTTCTTGCATTTAAGCAGTGTTACATTGAGGAATTAGTCTGTCAAAGGTGCCTCTAAGCCTTTGAAATCAAAACACTAGTGTCAATGACAAGAATAGTAGGTCTTCATACAATACTAACTCTTTGGTTCTCTCGATTGGATGTGAACATTCAAACCAGTGATTAGTTGTTATTGAATGGGATAGCCGCTTTGCTTTCCTAGCTCACTTATATTTGGTTGGTAATGCGTATTGCTGCTCACTTTCAGCATGGGTCAGTCACTAGCGTAGTTCATTAATACAGATTTATTATAACCATCCTGTATGTAATACATGAAGTTATTGCACAACAATCTGGAATCCAATCTGCGAAGAGAGCAGTCAGCTGGTCCTAACCCGAGTATATCTTTTAGACCACTAGGCAGTATTGTCAGCCTCCACAGACACAAACCAATATGATGTTTTTCAGCATTATTTATTCCTCTTTTTAACTCTGTAGTTTCTTCTTGCTAATGAATTACCTTCAGTGGCTTTTATTTAATTGTTTGATTGAGAGTATACGCTGTTTAAATGCAGGAAAGTCTTAGACTATGATTACATTTTAAGGCGTAATTTCAGAGTGAATCTTTCTGAAGGACTGACAGGGACTTAGTAATTGAGTTACTGTGCTTTGCAGACTGGAAATCGACAATGTGTGTCTCATCAAACATACATGGTGAGCCTTCTTTAAGAAACAAATATGATTCAGGGATGTTGTGCATGAACCATGCCCTAGGGATTGAACAATAGTGTGCATCTATCACACCAATGTTTATAAATTTCAGTTAGTACTGATTATCATTCTGTGAGTGGGGTTTTTTTATATAATATTCGTTTCAGAGGTGCATTCTGTTTGGCTAGACACCATTGTAACTTCTGTAAATTAGGGGATCAGCGCTGTTTACTCTAATTGTTATAGCAACATGAGTTTCTCTGGGTTTTCGGACATGCCTTGTTGATTTGTTTCAACTCTCAGAATGTTGTTTCAATAAGTTTACTAACTATCTGGATCTATTTTATCGATATTTTAGGGACCAGAACGAATTCGCGTTAATGAGAATGTGAGACATCGCATTGTAATACGAGAACCAAGGATCGTCCAGTGCAAAGCTTGTGCTGACTAAAAATCTGCCATAGGTACTGTGCATGCCCTAGTATCCAGCAAATTTTTTTCTTACTCTCTACGCGTGTAGCATGCGAAAATCTTTGAGTAGTCATATCATCTCTTGTTAATCTAAGCTGGTTGGGAAGTTTGGCCATCTTGGATAAGTGGCTCAGGCTACTAGAAACCCGCTTTTTGAAGATTTTTGTATAAATCACTAGCGTGACATGGATTTTCTGAAGTTGTCGTCCTCAGTTATCTAGCTTTCTGCTGGTTCGGTCATTACGTGTTTAGGAATCTGAGCTGCTTGCCTTTCTTCCTTAAATTTGATAAAATTCAACTGAGACTGTTCAGTACACCCACTTGAGAGATGAAAATCAGATTCAAAAACATCGAATTGCATTTGGTTAGTGAAATGACGAAACTAATCCAGTGAGACACAACCTGGATACGAATTGCGACTTTTCTGCCTCAGCAATTTATACTTCACCCAGTCACGAAAATATCAGAAGACAAAAACTGGCCTCTCAATATATGGAAGATACTTTATTTGACAAAAATATATGAAAAATGAAAAATAAATATATAGTTTTCATGACCATATACATCACAAGGTCAAGAGTTAACTGGCTTATTTTGATTGGTTAGCCGTGGAATAAAATTGTCCAATAAGGTTTTTCCTGACCACACAACGACATGAAACAGAGATTGCAATACAAAATCTTCTGTCTTAATAGCTGGTGAATTACAATGCTGATTTCCTGTTTGGGCCGCTTCCTATCAGCTGGAAGGGGTCACAACTAATGAATTCATTCGCTGCACTACAAACATTTCTACTTATATTACCGGGACCACTGACCGGAGCAAGGAGATTAAATTTCAAAACTTGTTTATGCTTGTTTTGTTTCATTTTTATGTTTACAGAAAAATTACTGACAAAGTAATATTGAAAGCTGTTTGACTGGGATAGTGATGAAAAGCTCCTTTTTTCCAGTTTTAGCCTCTCTCTGTCTAAAGTTCTCAGCGCAGTAACCCTTAACATTAGGCGTTGTAGTTACTGAACAGTAACCCAATCAAAACGAAACAATCGTCCAATACATTCTGGTTTTTAGTGACTCTAGCTGATACTTAGCTAGGAGGAATTCTTTTCAGACCTCCTAATTTGATACTGTGAATGCTGAGGAACACTTTCTAACAAGAAGTCTGAATATTAGTGTTTTAGGAGATTGTTGTATAAAGTTCAGTAATTGACCACTTACATATTCGACACTGTTGGATCACCAGATAGTGCACCTAATTAAACTGCATAATGGTTTGCTTGTAGAGGTGTGACTAATTGAAGAAGTAGGTCATAGGTTTAGATCTCGGTGACTCCAATGAGGTAAGGAAATTTAGATAGTATCACTAGCCGTCATAACAAAGATATGCCTTATTGCATAGGTCAAGAAGGTATACACGGTTATTGTATTGCCTGAAGAGTAAAACTTGAGCAATGTGGCAGATTAAAATGGACTTACTGGACGACCCTTACAGCTTATTGATGATTTCGTTGACTGAGTGATAGAAATTAGAATCTTGGAAAGAATATGGTTTTCCCTAAGGCTGGAGAAAGGCCTTTCTAATAAATTCCAGCAAATGCAGAATCTACCAGACTTATATTATTCGGAGTTTGGTTTCTCTTAAAAACTGCTGATTACAGCACTGTCACACGAAAGCTGACTAGACAACATACATAGCTGGCAGAGACGTCAGGAGGACTGTAATGTTCAGAATCAATCAGAGTCGAGGTGGCTTGAGTTTTATTACTAAAGATCTTTTAACTCTCTTCAAAACTACAAACAACCAATAAACTTTGCTGAAGAACTTAGTCAGTCCTTCATTGACACAAATCGTGGAAGATTGTCGTCTCTCGATGATGACACTAATTTTATTCGAATATCAACATTGTGTCGCATTTATTCTGTTACAGACTCATTTAATTCATACTCTTAAATCAAATGAGAATGGTCTCCAATTACGATCGATTTTCTGGTGGTACGGCACAAGCACAATGTAAAACAGACTATACTTCACATTCCAGTCAACTGGATCATCGCACAGATGATGCTCCTATTACTCCTTGGGTACGTGGAGAAGTTATTCATGAAGGAAGTGAGTTTCTTTTCCACAGTTAAATAAACTTTTCCTGTGTATTGTACAACGTTTTGCCCTTATTTGGACCTCCTTGTTTAGTAATGAAATTCTTGGATCGGTTACTTAAGCCTTTTAATGAGCCCGTGAAATCCAGGTATCTAATATAGTAGGATGGTTTCCTGTAATCACTGGTATTAAAACCATCATTTCTGCTCTTGATTTTACATTCCACTATTCTTAAGTCTCCTTCTCGATTTTCTAATTCATAAGTTATCCACAGACGCTATTACTGAACAGCTTGAGTAGATACAAACTACTCAGGCTAAACTGTAGTATATCACCAGCCAAGTTATAGTGATCTAACCGCCAGACGGCAGTTTCGCTTATTAGAAGCTGAGCTCATCAGTGGTGTGCCTGGATAAATTCACCTCATGCAGCAAAATCAGTTCGCCCTAAATGAGCGAAATAGTCGTCCGGCGTTTAGACCACACTAATCTGGTTGGTAAAATACTAACTACACAAAATTTTCAGTTGTAGCATCTGTCGCTGGTTCATAACACTTTTGTTTCATAGATCATACCTTATGATCTTCAATGGTTTTCCGAGTGATGTTAGTCCTTGATGAACACCCGTTGAATTCATAAGTGAATTTAATTTTACCTAGTACCAAGTTTATTTGTATTAAAAACTCTGGATATATTCTGAACTGAACAAAATAAATGCTTCATCCATTTATATCAACCAAACTTCTAATATGAGTTGAAATATTTCTAATGCCATTAGTTCCTAAGCTTCCAAAAAGATATCGAGGATAATAGAAATATCATGGCTACTCCTCCTTCCCTATGTTGATACACTTTGTCATGAAATTTTAAGACAAAGTTTTGTTCACCTTTTACAAACCTCATTGAAAAATTCCTGTGTTCAGAAAAGATCATTTATTTTGAAGAATATACAAAACGTTCAACACAATCATCGTACGTATATATTGATCGAGATTTCACTTGATAATGAAAATCAGTGGAATTAAGAAGGTGCTTGCTGACCTTTTCTTCACTGAAGTATCCAAATATGAGAAACATTACCATAATTGACCGAAAAATCTAGGTATATGTAATAAGAATTCTATTCACAAATTTATAGACAATCAATTCCATCTGATAAGTCAATAACTAAGGATTATCGAATAGCTGCATTAACCAGCTGCCATAGATTTCCAAAATCTGTAATCAAATAAGCCCAATATCTATCTTCTATGACCTAAATAACATCTTTTAAAGTAAAAAAAAAAGAAACCAGGTGAAGTGAATTTAAACAAACTGTTCAATTGTCAATTTTCATCAATTCTTGGTTTAGTCTTATATTAAGGCTTTTATAGACGGGGATGCAGAATTGCTCTGTATCTATTTCCATGCATTTTTTTTGAACTTATGGTTTCCATAAAATACTACTAGAAACACCCGAAAAATAAATAAATAAACAGGTTTTTTGGCAGATTTGTTACGAGAAATCAGTCAGCATATTTTTAACTCAGGAGGATCATTTTGATGGTTTAATCTTACAGCTCAGAGAACATAGTACTATCCAAATCAGTCAGCCGCCAGGATTATATTTCTCTACTTCCTGATCACCGCAAAATCAACATTTGGAAGTAAGATGATACACCACAATGCGGGTGTGTTACAAATACTTAGAGAAAACAGTCTGCCAGCTGTTTCCCTAAAGAACATCTTTTCTACCGTCGCGTATATGAGAAGAGTTTAACAGAACACAGTCCGGGTGATGAAAAACACCTATTGACTTGTTCAGTTTACCTCGTTTGCAATATGAAGATAGTGTAAGTATACTAGTATGAGACGACAAGTTCATCAGTGAATAATGGGAGAAATGGCATCAATCGATTGAAAAAGTTATTCTGTCTTTGTACGACAGAGGTAACTTTGAGCAAATACTGGCGCCTGTGGTCAGTAATAAAAGTTAGTTGGCTTGAGTCGAGGAAATGTCAAAATTATCAGATGATAGGTATTTGAAATTCGCAACTTTAATTAATCACAGCTTGATAGATATATTGATAGCTAATGTTTATCGAAAGATTACTAAGAGCCCGAAAGGCCTAAGGTCAGGTCGTTAGAATAACCAATCAGAATAGAACTACAAACTTACTAAACTGACTGATATACTACTTTTGGTCAGGTTTCCACAGCTGAATTCCTTTTAAAATTTGTGCCAAAAGTTCTATTCAACAAGATGATGAAGGCAAGGAAAACATTATATGATTCCAGGGTTATAGGTACTAATCCAATAGGCAAACTAACATCAATTCATAAAACTTGGGGACTATGATAGATTTTAATCCCACATTAGTCTATTAATGAAATGTTGCGCAGTAAAACAGTACTGGTTACTGTCAGTTAGATGGAAGCAGTCGGTAGGAAGCCTTGCACCTGGGTTTTGCACTTTCTGGCACTCGTCAGCTAGGCGTATCTACGACATTGACGGAATTGATGTCCCACCTGAGATTCGAACGCGCATCACTCAGTGTCACAAAATTAGAGACGTTACCATTGGGCTATTCACTGAGCAACTATTTTCCTATAGGGCTGTGTTAGATGCATTGATTGGTTATGGGAGGTTAACCAACTTTATATACTTTAGTCCTATGTGATAATCGAATTCAATGAATCATTCTGCAATGTGGATAACATCTTTTTAGTTAGCTCAAGGCAGCACCACAACTCTGACATGGTTTGTATAGTTCTACTTCTGCCTTCTGCTGTGCGATATAAGTAGTAGAATTTCGATATATCCGGAACAACTGCGGAATGATTCTGATGGCATGTATTTAGTGATGATCCCATGGACTAAAATTCGGCAATCAAACTATCTCTGCAGCCATCTAAGTTAGTTTTCAATACTCTCGCTCTGTCCCATCGTGTTGCTTGACTGAGTGTGGTAGTATGTACAGATATGGTCTAGCTTTTTCCTAGGCTGCTTATCTTATTAGGATCAATTAGTTTTGACTGAGGTACTTTTTTGTGCTCTAGACGCCCTGATTGATTCTGGCCGACCACTTCGACCCGTTTATCTGATCTCACAATCATTGTAAAACATTTTATCAACTAAATTATTCCGCCTAATAATGTGATCAGTACCATCTTTTAACTTTCAAAGCATGTTTCTGAGAGAGTGTGAAGGTTTAATTGCTACTCTACTCCAAGGCTTATTGAAAATCCTCCACGTAACGCTTCTGAGGTGCCTTCTTTGTATGGTAAAACGGTTAGGGTTTTAAATTCTATCTTCAACCTCTCATAAGTATTACTACAAACGGCATTATTATTAATACCAATGTTACTACTACTGCTCATATTTTTCTGGTGAAGTTATTTATAATTTTAAGTAAGCAATTATTGTGACAAGATAAGGGTGAACCGTTAGATTAAACTGAGTTTACTACTGAATTTATATATGTACAGCACTTATAAATACGCTCCAATTTCAGTACTGTAAATATGTCATCCACATATCTACACTACATCCTTGAGTTAGGACTAAAGGTTCCAAGGGTTATGCGTTTCCAGCTATCTTTATATATGCTTATGATGATAGGGGATATTAGTAATGCTAAGGCAACCCCTGCGGTTTGTTGATACATTTTATTTTCAAACCTAACAACTTTAGTAGTGAACGCAATCCAATTCACCTATGACTTAGAAAGTGATGAAGGGGTTACAGTGTAAGATAAAACGAAAAAAATAGAGATGACTTAGACATCAGTGTGCTTAGGAAATTTTCACTTACGAATCTCTGATTGCATTTCAAATAATCTCACTCCACCTCAGTTAAATTAGGCCCATTTAAATGTCTACGTAATAGGGCAAATGAGCTTATAGTTAGGACAGAGAATCTGAGACAAAAAACTAGACTCATCAAGAATACTTTACTTCCTAATAATTCACCACCTAATTTTAGCAATGAATTCATCATAAAGCTGGAATATCTTATTCAGATATAGACAACAAATTATATCCGAAACGCGATCCAGTAATTAATACTGTTTCTGAATGTGTCATATAGACCAAAATGGAATAACATTAGTTCAAGCCGGTTACAGACTTCACCAACTAAACAGGGAAGAAGACAATTGTTTATGATTTATATTACTTGACACAAAGGATATTTTTACATCAGCAATAGATAATACAACACTAATTATACTTCACCGATTCCTCAGGTTCAGTGGTGTGCAGAGGAGATAATTAAGTCTCAAATCACTTCGATATGCTTACTAGTGAGGTGAAAGCATAAATGCTGTAGTTTTTAAGCAAAAAAAAGTACAGTTATAGACGTTACCTCTGTGTGTTGAAGAACACCAACAGAGAGAATTTGTTCATCAATAAATCTAGGTTAGTTGTCTGCTTGATGCCCGGGAGTCAAATCCAGGACGCACGTTTCGTAATATTTGGGACTTACCAGGTTGGTATGCTTGCATCGCAGAGAGTGATATTGTTCCCACTGGGATTCAAACCTCGTACATATCACTTTAAAAACCAAGGCGTGATCCAGTAGGCCACTATTCAAGAAGGTCACCTCTTTTGTGTCAAAAATGTTGTACGCAGCATTTTTAGGTGACTGATGGAAAATTTCGGCCAGCTGAATATCAAGACTTTTCGCGTTTGTTATACAAGGAATCAGTTAGATCGCAATTTTCCGCCAACAACTAGGTCTCTCTAGTTGACAGCTCTCCAATATCTCTTCCACAACTAGCGATAAATGTAATAAATTAGAACAAAGAAAGTAAAGTTCAGTGAGTTTTTTCTTTAAATTCAGAAATAGTCGGCAGAAAGAAGATTCAAAGAGTTTCTACCTACATAAGGCGTGTACTGTACACGGTGACTCCTCAACTGAAACCAGTTAAAAGGAGCGTTTGATGCTATTCATATTTATTGTCTGTGTTTTCTGTGATAGACTAACTGAAGTTTCATACATCAGTCTATGTGGCACTACGTAAGGAACCTGAC